AGAGAGAGAGAGAGAGAGAGAGAGAGAGCCAGCTTGATGGCGGAACGTTCGACGGTTTGAAGGGGGTGGGTGGTGGATGGGGAGGTGATGGCGGTGGAGAGTCTATGCCGTAACAAGGGTGGCACGATTTCAAGAATGCGGAGCACGTTCTCAACCAATGCCGGCAGCCAGGCAGTAAAACAAATACGCCCTCCCTATGTACGGGGTGTCTCGGCAATACCGCGTACCGTCTACCGCTGTCGGCTGTTCCGACGAAAATCCCCGCTGCCTCGTAGGTGAAGGCCCCGTTACCGATACGAATGGAGGTAATGCAGCGTGTACGTACGTAATGAAACCTTTTCATGGCCTCCACCCATGGACACACGTCTTTACGGACGAAAGACAAATTAACTCGGCGAAGGAAGGAAGACGAGGCAATGCACGAGAGAAAGTACACGCGTTTACCCGCAAAGTTCTCTCTCTGATTGGTGGATAAATTAACACGACGAGTTTTTTTTCTTTCTTTTTTCTTTTCGCAACACACCTTGTGCGTTTAACGCGATCATTTTTCCCGTTCGGAGAAATCGGCGGAATTATAATCGGTATCACGCAGGTCGCGTATCGACGTATTGCCTGCGCGATTACGTATCGGCGGTAGTGCCGCTGGCTCGGAATCCGGAATAAAGCAGTCAATTACGGGCTGGTAGGCCGCCCTTTTCAAGTATTCCCCACGAGGAGCACACGAAATCCCCGGTTGAAACTGAACGCGAAACGGCCGATAAAAGCGTACAATGACTGGTACGAGCACGGAAACGCAAATGTCCTCTCTTTCACAGCGGTGGAGACGTCCTCTTTGGAGGGCAGCGAATGATGGACAGGTGAAAGAAGTGGCCAATGTGGGCTGGTTTCGGCGTCTCATGTGACACACACGTCACCGGCCTTTGTTTTTCTTTCACTTTTGATCGAGTGCTCCGGCCCCTTTGTCCGCTCGCTTCTCGAACCCTCGTTTCTTCTGTTATGTTTTTCTCTTTTCTTTCTTCTTTTTCTTCTTTTTCTCTCTCCAGCCAGTTTAGTACCGGCGAGAATTTTCTTTGGCACAACCCGCGGAAATCGAACCAGACAGCCTAGAGAATCCGAGAGAGAACGGGTTCTACCGCGATAATAAGAACGTACGTAGGATGGTCAATATAGAATCTCTGCACGCTAACAGAGATCAATTATCGTTTTAATTCTTGTTAGTTTTAACATTTTTTATTTTTTCGTAATTGTAATCGTTCGCATCACTATCAGTCTGCGCCAATATCAAGTAGGTTTAATTAAATCCCTACACGTGATTAACTCCTTACTTAATACGTAATTAAAATCCCTCATGTAATTGAATCGATGCAACCTGTTTCTATTACAATATAATCGCGAACCTGCGACTCCACTCTTCTGAATTCTGATCTCTGATCTTTGTTCGCGGTCGAGTAAACGACTTGCTCCCGTTCTTTTCAAAGGGTCTGCAAACGATGGACCAGTTTTCCACCTGATCTGGATCACGATCCATTTTCGTTCGTCAACATCTCGTGCCATCCGGTGGAACCTGTTTGCTCGCGTGGCGAGGTCCTGCCCTCTTCTGCACGATCTCGCAGATCCTGTTGGGAAACTGGTCCATCAGGAAGGGGATGCTGCCGCTTCTCAGTGACAATAGCCACTGTCCACTGTCCATTGTTGCCGAGGGTAAACCGCAAAATGAATCCAGTTAGCCTTTGACTCTTATTCTAAAATCGTCTCGGTCAATTTCCGCTGACAGAGAACTGGTCCACCAGGAAGGGGATGCGACAGCATCGCTTTGTATTTAGCGGCTCGTATCTAGTCAAGAGCAATAAACTCGAACCGTAAAACCGGAGAGCCGGTTGGCCTTTGACTTTTTTGTTGCGACAGGATCACTGAAAGCACCGCCCTTTTTCCAGGATTGACAATAGCGTCCCGTTTGCGGATAAATAATTGGGGAAATTTGTGGGGAAAAAAGGTAAGGGAAGATAATAAATCGAATAAACATAAGCAATCATTTGAAAATTGTCCCGCCAAAGAAATTTTACCCTGCGACTCTTCAACCCTTTAACCTGCCCTCTAGCGAGGTCCACAGTAAATTGCAGAAAGGAATTCTGAAATTGTAGAACTCTGCTTCAACGACACGAGATAAATAAGAAAGAGAGAGAAAGAAAGTACATTCGTATATCTCCTCTATGCTTGACACAATCATTGATTAAATTAGTCGTATGATATAATTTTCCAATTCACCGTTAAGCAGAGAGTGCGTTAAAAAGCTAATGATTTTCTTCCTGGTCGGTATCTCAGACTCTGAAACACGAAATCCCATTTAGTGTCGAATCTACTCTATCTTCGGTCAATGATATAACAAACTGTTTTATCGACAAAGTATTTCTGCCACTTGTTGCAGATAATAAAGTTTCCACTCGTGCAGCAAATGATAAAAACGAGGAATTTGAAATTTATCAAAAAATTGCAAAAACGTGATATATTTAAGAACAAGATTAATTATTGAAACAAAAACGCAATTAATTTGCATGAATCAAAATAATGCCAAGATCCTGTGGAAAAATCCAATAAAACGTTTGTTGTTGCACTTGTCTCCAAGCAACACTATACCGCATATCAGCTGCATGCGAAGTGTCGCGAACGTACGACAAGTGTTATGGATTACTAACGTGGAAAGTGGAAAAAGTGACACGTTTCCTGTTTCGTTTCGTTTTGAAATGTACGCGAGCAATCCGCAACCAGCGTGCAACAGTAACTTGGAGCATCAACAAGCTAAACTACAAAAGATCAAAGAGCTGACGAGCATTCTGAAGGTTAACAAAAGTTTGAAAATGATTTTATAATTTTGTAACAAGTACTTCTTGTCCCGCAGGATACAGATAAAAATCTGACTATTTGCGAAGAAATATTGGCGGCCTACATAAGGAAACGATTAAGGGTATGTGCAAAATTATTTC